GAGAGTTACAACAACAGGTAGTGCTTTTTCCTGAAGGAATCCATTATCCTTCACCTGACTTACCTGTCTCATTGTAAAACCCATGCCCTTTAGCCAGAATCTTACTTGAGAAGATCTTTTTGGGTTCCAGGCCTTCCGGTGTGGAACAGCCTCTCATACAGCTTCATTCCAGCAGCTCATCCTCTGGGGCATGTGGCAGTACTCCTGAAGCCAAGCTCATGGCAGTGGGTGCTCACTTGGCCGTGATTTGCTGCACTGGCACTTGTCATCATTTTGTTTTTGTTTTGTGAAATTGGGGCTTGCTGCTCACATTGCATATGCAGAGAGCAGCAGATGCTCACAGTCGCACTCAGTTCATTTCCATCATAGAGTTGGACTTCTTACAGAACTCCAGATTCCAAGGCACTTATACCACTTAGTTTTTCTGAGAAGTTTACCATTTAAGTCTCCTAAAAGTGGCAAACATTAGCATCCAAAAGGTATTTAAGTTTATTCTTTCAGTCTTCTCCATATAATAATTAATGATCCCAATTTCCTCACATCCCAATGAAGCAGAGATCCAACCGTGTAACGTGGTGTAAATGCATCACTCCAGGAAGATCACAGCTAGGAAGGGAACGCACGTCCAAGCTGCTACTGCTGCTGCTTTTGCCATCTCTCCCATCCTCTGAGCACCTTTTCATCAGTACCGTGCAGGTGCTGGCCTGTTTGTAAATGTTGGCATGTATGTCGCACATGGCTTTAGTTAGAACAGTCGCCGCATGCCTGTCATCCATTTTTAAAGTGAGTCTTAATCCCTATAGCAGACTCATGACTGGTGTTACAAGAAACCCAGAAGAGAACACAGGCCCTCAAGAATGTTTTTGACTTGGAGAGGGCTCGCTGTTTTGCAAGGGAGTATATCATTTTTGCATGGAAGCAGCCATTAAGTTCTTTCCATCATTCTAACTTTAATAGCTGTGTTGTGTGGCTGTGCTTTTTTTGACTCTTGACTTCTTTCGGGCCTGTAGGAAGAGCCTGGGCAGTGGGCCCTGCCTTGGGGCTCTCACTGTGCCCTCACATTACTTTTCATTTCTTTGACATCTTTCTCATTCAAAATGACGAATGAACCTTTGTACTGTGCAAGTTGTAGTATTCAGTGACAGGGTATTATGAGCTCTTTGTGCACATAATTCCATGTTATGAAAACCTTTCACCAACTTCTTAAATTGGCTGGTTTGAAGTGCACATTGTGTTATGGCATAATCTGTATTATTAGGAATATGAATTGGGGAATTAGCATTAGATCTTTCAGAAAGAATTGGGAATTCAAAGAGAAAGACTTGCCTTCATTCTTCGGTCTTGATTTAGGGTATGTTATTTAACATGTCATTTCTTCTAAGTATCTGACTTAAGTTTCTTCATGGGACTTGCTGAGATGATTTCAAAACTTTTGTTTAACTATATTTTGGGAACATTTACCAAGACGTTTCTTAAAGACAATAATCCTTTCTTCAATTGCTGCTGTTTCTGAAAGATAAACCAGACTTTGTGGTTCATGATAAGCCAAAGACATGGTCTGTAATAAATAGTGTTGCTAGACAGACACTGTACAGAGCACATCATTGAGGTTGAGTTTCCATCTTTAGGAGCTTGGCATCAATGACGAAGAACGTGAGCACATATGAAGATATGGGAGATATACTGACAGTGGAATACTAAAACACTGACTACATATGTGTGTCTCTTCAACAGGACTTCACTCATATAATTTTGAATTTATTCCATGAGCTAAGACACAAAGTCATACTAAGGAATAAAACATTTCCTGGAGTTCAGGAATTTCAGGGTTACCTTCTTGCCTCATGAACGCTCTTAATTCACCCTTTCACTTTATTTGTGCATTTCGATTCAATCAATTCTGTTTGTTGAACAGCATTTAAGTGCAGATTCTCTGGGCAATCTCTAGGCCACCTCTCAGATCCATCCTCTATTGCTGTGTGACAAATTACCCCAAAACTTTGTGGCTTAAAGCAACTTAGAGGTTTTGCTGGATGGTTGGGTTTGAGTGTCTCGTGAGATTGTGGTCAAGATACCAAGTGAGGCTGCAGTCACCTGAAGTCTTGCTGTCTCAGATGACTCACTTTGCTGGAAGTTGATACCAGATGTTACAGGAAGATGACTCACTTTGCTGGGAAGTTGGTACCAGTTGTTACAGGAAGATGACTCACTTTGCTGGGAAATTGATACCAGATGTTACAGGAAGATGACTCACTTTGCTGGGAAGTTGATACCAGATGTTACAGGAAGATGACTCACTTTGCTGGGAGGTTGATACCAGATGTTACAGGAAGATGACTCACTTTGCTGGAAGTTGGTACCAGATGTTGTAGGAGGATGACTCACTTTGCTGGGAAGTTGATACCAGATGTTACAGGAAGATGACTCACTTTGCTGGGAAGTTGATACCAGATGTTACAGGAAGATGACTCAGTTTGCTGGGAAGTTGATACCAGATGTTACAGGAAGATGACTCACTTTGCTGGAAGTTGGTACCAGATGTTGTAGGAGGATGACTCACTTTGCTGGAAGTTGGTAACAGATGTTGTAGGAGGATGACTCATTTTGCTGGGAAGTTGATACCAGATGTTACAGGAAGATGACTCACTTTGCTGGAAGTTGGTACCAGATGTTGTAGGAGGATGACTCACTTTGCTGGAAGTTGGTACCAGATGTTACAGGAAGATGACTCACTTTGCTGGGAAGTTGGTACCAGATGTTACAGGAAGATGACTCACTTTGCTGGAGTTATACAGATGTTAGGAGATGACTCACTTTGCTGGGAAGTTGATACCAGATGTTACAGGAAGATGACTCACTTTGCTGGGAAGTTGATACCAGATGTTACAGGAAGATGACTCACTTTGCTGGGGTAAGTTAGGAGATATTTGTTGATACCAGATGTTACAGGAAGATGACTCACTTTGCTGGGGAAGTTGGATACCAGGATGTTGTACAGGAAGATGACTCACTTTGCTGGGGAAGTTGGATACCAGATGTTACAGGAAGATGACTCACTTTGCTGGGAAGTTGATACCAGATGTTACAGGAAGATGACTCACTTTGCTGGGACGTTGATACCAGATGTTACAGGAAGATGACTCACTTTGCTGGAAGTTGATACCAGATGTTACAGGAAGATGACTCACTTTTCTGGGAAGTTGAACCAGATGTTACAGGAAGATGACTCACTTTGCTGGAAGTTGTACCAGATGTTTAGGAGATGACTCACTTTGCTGGAAGTTGTACCAGATGTTAGGAGATGACTCACTTTGCTGGGAAGTTGATACCAGATGTTACAGGAAGATGACTCACTTTGCTGGAAGTTGTACCAGATGTTGTAGGAAGATGACTCACTTTGCTGGGAAGTTGATACCAGATGTTACAGGAAGATGACTCACTTTGCTGGGAAGTTGTACAGATGTTACAGGAAGATGACTCACTTTGCTGGGAAGTTGATACCAGATGTTACAGGAAGATGACTCACTTTGCTGGGAAGTTGATACCAGATGTTACAGGAAGATGACTCACTTTGCTGGAAGTTGTACCAGATGTAGGAGGATGACTCACTTTGCTGGGAAGTTGGTACCAGATGTTACAGGAAGATGACTCACTTTGCTGGGAAGTTGATACCAGATGTTACAGGAAGATGACTCACTTTGCTGGAAGTTGGTACCAGATGTTGTAGGAGGATGACTCACTTTGCTGGAAGTTGGTACCAGATGTTACAGGAAGATGACTCACTTTGCTGGGAAGTTGGTACCAGATGTTACAGGAAGATGACTCACTTTGCTGGAATTGGTACCAGATGTTACAGGAAGATGACTCACTTTGCTGGGAAGTTGGTACCAGATGTTACAGGAAGATGACTCACTTTGCTGGGAAGTTGGTACCAGATGTTACAGGAAGATGACTCACTTTGCTGGGAAGTTGGTACCAGATGTTACAGGAAGATGACTCACTTTGCTGGGAGGTTGATACCAGATGTTACAGGAAGATGACTCACTTTGCTGGGAAGTTGATACCAGATGTTACAGGAAGATGACTCACTTTGCTGGGAAGTTGGTACCAGATGTTACAGGAAGATGATTCACTTTGCTGGAATTGGTACCAGATGTTACAGGAAGATGACTCACTTTGCTGGGAAGTTGATACCAGATGTTACAGGAATATGACTCACTTTGCTGGGAGGTTGATACCAGATGTTACAGGAAGATGACTCACTTTGCTGGGAAGTTGGTACCAGATGTTACAGGAAGATGACTCACTTTGCTGGGAGGTTGATACCAGATGTTACAGGAAGATGACTCACTTTGCTGGAAGTTGGTACCAGATGTTACAGGAAGATGACTCACTTTGCTGGGAAGTTGATACCAGATGTTACAGGAAGATGACTCACTTTGCTAGGAAGTTGATACCAGATGTTGTAGGAGGATGACTCACTTTGCTGGGAAGTTGGTACCAGATGTTACAGGAAGATGACTCACTTTGCTGGAATTGGTACCAGATGTTACAGGAAGATGACTCACTTTGCTGGAATTGGTACCAGATGTTACAGGAAGATGACTCACTTTGCTGGGAAGTTGATACCAGATGTTACAGGAAGATGACTCACTTTGCTGGGAAGTTGGTACCAGATGTTACAGGAAGATGACTCACTTTGCTGGAAGTTGGTACCAGGTGTTGTAGGAGGCCTCTTCTCCTCACCATGAGGGCTGCAGTCTTTCCCAGAGCAGTGGCCCAAGAGAGATCAGGGCAGAAGCGCAATGTCTTCTTCACCTGGCCTCGGGGGTTAGACTCTGGCATCTCCTTTGGCTCCAGGGATCAGCACTGTTCAGTGTGGGAACATCTATCTAGGGTATAAATACCAAGAGGTGAGAATCTGGAGGCCATCCTGGAAGCTGGTTATGGTAGCCCCGGATATTTGGAGGTGAGTCTGCCCCACTGTTTCCCCTCCTCAGGTAAGCAAGTTTCCACGGGACAGTCCTCATTTAAAGAAATAAGTCAGTTGATTGGGAGAACCTTCGACACGCGGTTTCCCAGTGTGCTCCTCGGTACGTGCACATGCCTGTTATCTGACAGCTTGCAACCCCAAGCCTCACTCCCTTCCTCCAGCCTCTCCGTGAGAAATTCTCATCGAGCGCCCATTGTGTACTTCACCGTTCCTTACCGAGGTCACCTCGGTATGAGGAAAATCAAAGATCTGGGTTACCCTCACGAGCTGGCTTCAACCCCCTCTCAGTTTTCTGACTTCAGTCCCCATGGAAAGAATCCTGGGCACCTCACCCATTGCTGGGGGCCCTGCGATGAGTCCAGGGAGTACGGATCCCGTCAGAAGCTGGCTCGTGTGCCCAGGAGGCCGCTTTTTCTGCACCTGTGGCCTCGCTTCTGGGGTGGGTTGAATTGGGTACACCCAATGCATGTGTTGAAGTTCAGATCCCTGGTACCTGTGAATGTGACCTGATTTAGAAAAAGGGTCTTTGCAGGTGTAATTAGGTAAGATGAGATCACAATGGAGTAGAGTGAGCCCTCTATCCAAAATGACTGGTGTCCTTGTAAAGAGAAGAGACACAGAGACAGAGAAACACAGAGGAAAGACAGCCATGTGACAATAGGGGCAGAGACTGCTGTGATGCTAGGAAGAGGCCAGGGAGGACCCTTCCCAGGAGCCTTTGAAAAGAACACGGCCCAGCAGACGCTTTGTTCTTGGACTTCTGGCCTCCAGAACCGTGAGATGATCTATTTCTATTGTGTTAAGTCCCCCATTGCATGGTGCTTTCTTACAGCATCCTTGGCAAACTCACACACCATCCAGAAAAATTACATCTGATGGTGTTGTTACTGCTTCACAACTCTTGGGAGTGGTTTAGCAGGAGGGGGAGGTGCGGGAATTGAAGGGAAATCATGTCACCTGCACTAGGCATTTGCAAGTCAGCCAGTTTCTTTGAGAGAGTAAGAAAGCAATTAGAGAAAAGACTAATATTGATAATAATAACAACAATAAGAATTACTGTGTATATGTGATTAGTCAAGCACTTAAGAACTTTACTTGCATTCATTAAAAAATTCCTCACATCAACCCGATGGAAGGAATGTAGAAGAACAAACAGTAGATGAGGATATTATTTGACCAAGGACTCTGAGAGGAGTGATGCTCATGTACAAATATTAGGACTTGAGGGGGCCAAGTCCTGAACCAATGAGCCAACGGAGATCCAGACATCAGCCCTCAGTGCTGGGCAGTGCTGCGCCCCGCAGGCCTCTTGCACAGAGAGGGCCCTGCCTGCTGAGCAGTGGGCAGCCCCCCAGAAAGAGGCTCAAGAGGGGGCTGAGCAGTTCCTCCTCCCAGTTACCCCTGCCTTGGAGAGGCTGGGAGTACACTCACGCAGGGAAACCCAGGGTGGTGGGGCTGCCCCTCACGGCCACCTGGGGAGGCTCGACTTTTGCTGAGGGTGGGTTGGAGAAGGCACAGGAAACTTGGGGATTGCAGGAGACTCTTTTTTTTTTTTTTTTTGTTTTTGAGATGGAGTCTCGCTCTGTCCCCCAGGCTGGAGTGCAGTGGCACATCTCGGCTCACTGCAAGCTCCGCCTCCCAGATTCACGCCGTTCTCCTGCCTCAGCCTCCCGAGTAGCTGGGACTACAGGCGCCCACCACCACACCTGGCTAATTTTTGTATTTTTAGTAGAGATGGGTTTTCATGGTATTAGCCAGGATGGTCTTGATCTCCTGACCTCGTGATCCGCCCGTCTCGGCCTCCCAAAGTGCTGGGATTACAGTGCTGGGATTACAATGAGCCGCCGTGCCCAGCCTAACAGGAGCCTCTTTTAATACAAAGAAGCCCAGTCAAGACCAGTGGGATTTGTCTATGATCCAATAAGTGTTTTCTTTGTATTCAGTTTAGGGGAGGAATTGACTTGGGCATTGAGGAGCCATTTCCAGGGAGCACAGCAGGAACAGAGGGGCCAGCACCATCTATCTCTCAATGCACCCCCGGGGGTCAGGAGCCAGTGCCATCTGTCCACGCACCCCCGGGGGTCAGGAGCCAGCGCCATCTCTCAATGCACCCCCAGGGCTCAGGAGCCAGTGCCATCTGTCCATGCCCCTCCAGGGGTCAGGAGCCAGCGCCATCTCTCCACGCACCCCCGGGGGACAGGAGCCAGCGCCATCTCTCCACGCACCCCCGGGGGACAGGAGCCAGCGCCATCTCTCCACACCCTCCCGGGGGTCAGGGCGGTCACAAGGTGTCTTCTGGGTGGCACTGACCACCACCTGGAGCTGCCTTTCACAGGGAGCCCTCATCTGCCTGCAGCGGCCTTTGGAGATGTCCACAGAGCTGTCTCCAGGAGACGCTGGGGAGGGTGGGCGAGGAGGGCTGACCATGGGCAGCAGTGCCGGGAGGGCCCACACCCCACTCTGGGAGGGTTGCCTTTTCTTCTTCTTCTTCCTTTTCTATTTACCTGGATCGAAATGACTTCGAATCCCACCATTTTTCAGTTTACGTCCACGTGTTCTCCGCCTTGATTGTGATCGTCGCTGGGGCCTTCGTCATCACCATCATCTACAGGCTGGTCCCTTTGTTCTTCGTTCTTCATCAGGAGGGTGGGGAGGAGGGGGCTCACGTCTCCTGGCCGCAGCCTCCCGCCCGACTGGGCTCCTTTGGGCTTGGTGCTGCTGGGGTAACTGAGAACAGCTCTCTGTGAGCCTGGGAATGGGAACTGGCCAGGTAGGGAGGACCCCACTGATCTCCAGAGTGCTTCTTGATGACAATCCTAACCCACATTTAGTGAGCACCTAAGACTCTAAGTGCTTTGCTCAGCCTATTCAGCCCTCGCAGCCACTGACGATGTAAGTGCTCTTCCTGTCCCCAGATTGGGATGATTGACGCAGCAGTATCGAGGGGGTCCCAAGGCTGATGGATGGGGCAGTGCGGCTCTAACTCAGACTCCCAGTTGTTCCAGAGCCCCTGAAGCCAAGGCTGCCTGCACCTCTTGGCCTGTGGCCTTCGTCCTCATTGCAGGGTGTCAGGGTTTGGAGACGTCTCAGAGATGAGTCTACTCCCTCTCATTTTAATGGTGAGGAAATGCAGACCTTGGGGACCAAGGCAGCAGGTAGCTGTCCCCAGGGCAGGGCTGGAATCCAGCATCTCACGCCCCGGCCAGTCACCTTTGCCATGAGCCCACTCTGTGTCGTGCGTACAAGCCCCTGAAATTATTCCAGTCTCTTTGTCAGGGAATGAGTAAAGCCATTTTCCTACCATGAGTGGTGCTATATGCTGTCTTATGTGTGTTAATCATGAGGATGAACCGGCAGTAGCCTGGAGTGCAACACACACCTTCCCCCGCCCGGAGCTGTTTTTGGGAGTTTAGCTGCCTCATACGATCATCTGTTTGGAGCCTGCACGAGAAACTAAAATGAGGCTGGATGTGGTGGCTCATGCTTGTAATCTCCCAGCACTTTGGGAGGCTGAGGTGGGAGGATCACTTGAGCCCAGGAGGTGGAGGCTGCAGTGAGTCGTGTTTGTGCCATTGCACTCCAGCCTGGATGACAGAGCAAAACTGTCTCAAACAAATAAATAAATAAATAATAAAAATAAAAAGAGAGAGAGAGAGAGAGAGAGAGAAAGAAACAAAAATGAGAACTATTACAGCAAAGCACTTACCTTAAAAAATAAGTATGCATGGTCAGGAACCTATGTTTTCAGAGGGATGTCCTGGCAGGCAGGAGGGGGGACCTGGAGAGTTTCCATCTGTAACTTCCCTGACTGTGATAAAACCCTCTTCCCATTAGAGTCGTTCGGGAGAGCAGGAGACAAAGGGCCGTCCCTACGGATGTCGCGCTGCCACACAAGTCCAGCAAAAAGGCGAAGGTGGCCTCATCCAGCAGCAAATTAGGGCTGAAGCCTCCGAGTCCTGGGCCTCCGGGTGCTCGGCCCTCAATGAAGAGTGACGCGGACAAGGATGATGGTGAGAAGCTTCTGGAATGATCCTCAGCCTAAGGTTGTGGGCGTGGTTCTGTTCCCTTGGGAGACCTTCCCTGGAAAGGGGCTCGGCATCTACACAGGCCCTTCAACCTCAGCGATCAGTGTTGCAGTTTGCATTCAAAATTTGAATGTACCCAACACTGGAGGTTCAGGTTTGCAGATTTCCCTCTGTGAGTGTTGTCCTCCCCCTTCCCGTCCCCTGCTGCCTCTCTGTCATTTCACCCTCTGGCGGGGCCCTCTGTGTTAGTGCGGGAGGCTCCTGGGGAGGGGTCGAGAGTCCCGAAGAACCTGCGCATTTGATCAGGTGACTTCCTGCAGGGAGGCTGCCAGGTTGCTGTGGGTACTCTCTGTGCACCCTGGCCGCGTGGTGGTTGTGGTGGTTGTGGTTTTGAGGGGAGGCTGCAGGGCTGCCGTGGGCACTCTCTGTGGCTCCCTGGCCGCATGGTGGTCGTGGTTGTGAGGGGAGGCTGCAGGGCTGCCGTGGGCACTCTGTGGCACCTTGGCCGCATGGTGGTCGTGGTTGTGAGGGGAAGCTGCAGGGCTGCCGTGGGTACTCTCTGTGGCACCCTGGCCGCATGGTGGTCGTGGTTGTGAGGGGAGGCTGCAGGGCTGCCGTGGGTACTCTGTGCACCCTGGCCGCGTGGTGGTCATGATTGGAGAGGTGGATGATCACTCTATGCCTGCCTCGGTTTCCAGGAAGGAAAGTTGCTTGTATGTTGGTTTACCTGCTTTGAGGGCCCTGGGAGGTTGCTGGTTGCTTTTCCTAGATCAGCATCCTGCCAGGTTAGAGAAAGAAACATCTCAAATGGTAATCCTTATCTTCAGAGATGTTTGCACAGGAATACGAATGGCCTGGACTTATCCATTGTTACCAAGTAGACTTGGCTTTACAGGGACCATCAGGAAAAGCAGGAGGCAGGGTAAGAGGGCGACCCACGCTTGATTTCAGATCTGGAATGCCTGGCCCCTAACCGAGTCTGCGTCTGTGCGAATGAGGCTTTCCTGCAGGACAGATGTTTGCCGGGTTAAGGGAGCCTCCTGTGTGCGAGATGATGTGGAAGGAAGAGTGTTTTACTGTCTTAAAAAGATGCTTCTTCCCTGGAATGCACGGAGAAACACGGGGCAGCATATGGCCGTCCCCAAAACTGGCTTTTGAGTCAATCATTGACAATCGGACACCTTGTAGATGGGTTCAAAGACCCTGATGAAATCTTTTTGGGACTGCTGAATATTCCATTTGAAAAAACAATTCTTCTTTTCTAAAAATCTAGTAACAGTGACAATAGCAGAAACCGAAGAAACTGAGGACTGACTGAAACGCATGAAGAAGTGGAGATTGGCAGAATTATCCAAATGAAATGGTACAGCAGGTGCACTGTTAACAGTGTGATGGAATGACCACCCAATGAGAAAAAAATAAAGGTATTTTGAAAATTGCTTCTCGTCTGATGTTGCTTATCCATTGCTATATTTTTATCTTAGGAGAGAGAAAGCCTGTGGGGTAGGAGAGTGGGAGCCGGAACTTTCAGTTTTTAATGGCACTGCTTGTCACTAATATTAACACCATGGGGGCTCACAGCACGGGCTCAAGGTGGTGTTGTCGCAGGGTGGTCATGGTTGTGTGGGGAGGCTGCAGGGCTGCCATGGGTACTTTCCAGAAGGCAGGCTGCACTTTCACCAAGAGTGGGCTGCCACACGGACACAGGCGGTTCAAGACTCTGGCATTTGGCTTTGCTAGGACTTGGTCATGCCGCAAGGGAGGAGCAGCATTTGGATCTGGATCTGAGAGGCCCCAAAGTGTAGGCCGTAGCTTCCTGAGAGCCCCTCATGCAAGGCAGTGCGCTCAGTCCCAGAGTGGCCGACGGATGCTCACAGGCACCCCAGGCTGGCCCAGGGCAGCCCACGGATCTTGGAGGCTGCATTTTCTCACTTCGAAAATGTGCATTCTACCCAGCAACTGTGGCCCTTATGTCCACGCATTGCAGCTTTGAAAAAGGATAATAAACAATCCAGATAGACCAGACACATCCTGCTCCAAGGAGTATATAGATGAGAAATCAGTTTGCATGAGCCTCTGGAAGCCCCTCATCCGCTTTCTGCCTGGTCAACCTTGTCAGCTGCTGATGGGCTTGGCCCAGGGTCTGCACTGCTCTAGGGCTTCCTGCGGGGGGAAGTTATGGGCCTGCTGTTAGCCCCTTTCTTCTCACGGGCACCTCACTGGCTTTAGGCCAATCGGGCTCTTGTATTGGTGTAGATCAGGTGTCCGCACACTTTTTGTAAAGGGCCAGAGAGCCGGTATTTCATAGAGTGCACCTGGGTACTCTCTGTGCACCCTGGCCGCATGGTGGTCATGATAGAGCTGTGCAGATGGGGCTCGGTGGCCCTACCTGGCAGATGTTTCCAGTGTGGCCCAGACCATCCCTTGCAGAGATGAGGCAGAATGGATGCCCCCACAAAATAACACTTAAAGCCCCAAGTTTGTTGAAGGCACGCCTACTTCAGAGCTTTCGTCCGTAGGAGGAAGTGGCGCATGGAGCGGCCTCCCAGCAGCCACGCTTCCTGGCCTCCCAGCAGCCACGCTTCCTGGCCTCCCAGCAGCCACACTTCCTGGACAGTTGGGTCTTTGCTGCCTGTGGCTCCCCTGATGACTCCTCAGTCACTGGAGAGCTAGTTACTGGGTGGAACACATCTACCTTTGTGGGCCCTTTTGCTGAAGCCCTCAACCCTGCCCCCTTCCCTGAAAACAATCATGATCCAGCCTGAAAAAAGTGCCAGGTTATTGGTGGACTGGATGCTCGTCAGAGACGTTAGGGGTCACCTGGGGTCTCTGGTTTGGGAAGCCGCTGTGACTCAGTAGGGTATGGGTGTGAGGTTTCGGGACTGGCCCTGCTGAGGGTGGTGGGATAGGGAATGAAGGAAGGGAAGCAGTTCAGGTTGCAGCTGGGAAGAGGATGGGGCCCTGGGGACTACTCCTGCCAGGGACCCCCAGGAGAAGGGCCAGAGCTCCTAAGTACAAGTGAGGCTGGTGGGCATGTGGCCCCATGAGGGACAGCCAGCCGTGGCCTGGATGTGTGACAACCTTGCACAGGCCAGGGCCCCTGCCCTTGCACAGTTGGTGCCCTGCTGGGTGAGGCGAGGGCCAGACAGAGCTGCCGAGAAAGTGCCTTGCAGGCAGTGGCTTCTCACAGAACTCCTGGCGGGCACCCATGGGCACAGCTAGTCATGGCCAAGCTCAGAGTCAGTTTCGGAGAGGACAACCCAAAGACACAAACAAACAGGCCTGGTTTGTTGGGGTTACCAGATAGGCTACCATAGTCGTACAATATGTCCCTTGGTTAGAGGTGACTTTGCTGGTGTTAGCAGAAGTACTGTGAGCAGGGAAGGCAAATACACACCCGGGATATTGTCTATGGCTGTGAAGATTCAGTATTGTCCCCTTTGTGATGGAAGGGCCCAATGTACTCAACCTGCCAACAGGTGGTATCCGGCTACCCTGAAAAATGGTGCCACATTAGTCTCTGTTGTTGGGAAAGGTAGGCGGCTGACTGATCAGCCCTGAGAAAGGTCGGGCCATTGAGCCCATGCACAGCCTTTATTCCTGCTGCTGCAGCCGCTCTGTGTATGAGCCCTCCAAGCAAGCCTCAGGGTAGCCGAGAAAGGGCTAGTTGACATTCACAGGACAGTAGATTGTCCATATAATTGTTAAATGCCTCCCTGCAGTGGACATCTTGTGGTGGACGTAGGTTCTGAGAGGTTCACACACGTGTTTCTTACCTTGACCCCTGATAGAGTTTGGATACTCGTCCTCACCCACATCTCATGTTGAAGTGTGATACCCAGTGTTGGAGGTATGGGACCTGCTGGATGGTGAGTGGGTCACAGAGGCAGATCCCTCATGAGCAGCTTGAGCCATCCTCTTGGTGACAAGTGAGCTCTCTCTCTGAGCTCACGTGAAATCTGGTCGTTTGAAAGTGTGAGGCACCTCCCCCCACAGCCTCCCTCCTGCTTCTGCTTTCATCGTGTGATGCGTCTGCTCCCACTTCTCCTTCTGCCATGATTGGAAGCTTCCTGAGGCCTCACCAGGAGCTGAGCAGATGCTGGTACCATCCCTTTGCAGCCTGCAGAACCGTGAGCAAACTGAACCTCTTTTCCTTATAAGTTACCAGTCTCAGGAATTCTTTGTAGCAGTGCAAGAACAGCCTAATACAACCCCCTTGACACTAATTTCCCAGTCTTACTCTCTTCAAGCCCATGGCCAGCTGGTCAACCCATGAGCCACTGCCCACAAGTTGATGTGAATCAGCACCCCAGGGCATGTCTTCTTCCATAGAAAGTGGGTGGTGAATCGTGCCGCACAGTTTGCTCACTGGGAGGGTCTCCTTTTATCACTGGGTTTTGTGTGAGGCCACAGCACAGGATCTGCCTACTTGCCACAGGGCTGGTGTACTGTACAGGTCCACCCATGAACCTACACTTTTAAGAACTGGTTTCTACCGGAGCCTAATAGCAAGCCAAGAACTGCTTTTGGAAATGAGATTTGCCAACAGAAGAGGGGAAACCTCACTCAAATCTTCAGAGATTTGTGCGATGATTCTCCTATTAGAACTTGCCACGTGGGTCCCTACAGTTTCTCAGTATGATTCAGACTATTCTCGAGGTCTTAGGCCTGCAGGACAATGCAGAAGACTTGGCATTGTCCTGAATAAGGTGGTTGTATAATTTATAATCCAAACCTGGACTTTTGAAAGTGAAAGGAAGTGTTATTGATAATTCTGCCAGAACAACAGGTGTAACTGGGCCTTGGCAATGAAGCAACTCATCAAAGGCATATTGCTGTTGCTGCTACATGAAGGCAGTTTCTCATTTTTCTTTATGGATGCACTGGAATAAAATATTTTTCAAATTGACAGCTGCAAACTGGTTGCATACCAGCTGATTTATTCTAGTAAAGGTAAATGTACAATTGCACCTGCCATTGTCATCAGCACCTCACTAAATCTGCGTAATTTACTGTTACTCTCCAAGACCCATGTGGCTGTCATACTTGCTAAACAGGTGAGTTAAACGAAAAGTGTGACAGGAATCATCACTACATTAGTCCATTTTCACACTGCTATAAAGAACTACCTGAGACTGGGTAATTTATGAAGAAAAGGATTTAATTGACTCACAGTTCCACAGGCTTAATGGGATGCATGGCTGAGAGGCCTCAGGAAACTTACAATCATGGAGGAAGGTGAAGGGGAAGCAGCAAAGACCTTCTTTGGTGGCAGGAGAGAGAGAGAGAGAGAGAGAGACAGAGAGAGAGAGACAGAGAGAGAGAGAGAGAGAAGTGCCACACACTTTTAAACCATCATCAGATCTTGTGAGAACTCACTATTGCAAGAGCAGCAAGGGGGAGGGGGATATCTGCCCCCATAATCCAGTCACCTCCCACCAGGGCCCTCCTCCAATATGACATGAGATTTGGGTGGGGACACAAATCCAAACTGTATCAATCACCCAGGCACCAGGTCTTTGGTGGAGGCACTAATATTTGAAATCTCCTTGGAATATGATACCACTTTTTCTTCTTAACAGCTTTATTGAGGTATTATTGGCATATAACAAAGTGCACATATCTAAAGTATACAATGTTGTAAGTTTGGCATATGAATACACCCATGAAATCATCACTACAATCAAATTAATGAACACGTCCATCACTCAAAAGTTGAATCAGGCTCCTTTGTGATTTCTCTCACCTGCCCTTCTTCACCCTTCCTATCGTGCCCAATAACCATGGATCTGCTCATTGACACCAGAGATTAGTTTTCATTTTCTATAATTGAATTGTAAAGTATGTGTTCTTTTTTGTCTGGTTTCTTTCAATTAGCAGAGGCATTTTGACATTCAGCCACGTTGATGTGTTAATCAATGGTGCATTGCTTTTTATTGCCGAGTAGTATTCCTTCATGCATATACCACATTTGTTTTTTCAGTCACTTGTTGATTGACATTTAGGTAATTTCCAGTTTTTGCTTATTACAGATAAGACTTCCATGAATATTCACATACAAGTTTTGTGTGGACATATGCTTTCATTTGTTTTGGGTAAAGACCTAGGAGTGAAATGGCTGGGCCACATGGTAGATGTATATTTATTTTATTTTATTTTATTTTAAGACAGAGTCTTGCTCTGTTACCAGGCTGGAGTGCAGTGGTGTGATCTCAGCTCACTGCAACCTCCGCCTCCTGGGTTCAAGTGATTCTCCTGCCTTAACCTCCCGAGTAGCTGGGACTACAGATGAGTGCCACCATGCCCAGCTAATTTTTGTATTTTTAGTAGAGATGGGGTTTCACCATGTTGGCCAGGATGGTCTCGATCTTCTGACCTCGTGATCCACCTGCCTCAGCCTCCCAAAGTGCTGGGATTACAGGCATGAGCCACCATGCCC